GCCCCGCATTTTTTCCCGCAGGCGCTGCGGTGTGCGCAGGCGCTGATGTTCGCGCAGGCAACGTTGTGTACCCCAGCGATGCGTTGCACACGGCTGTTGCGGTGTACGCGGGCGCTGTGGTGTACGCAAGCGCTGTGGTGCACGGAGGCACTGTGATGTACACCGACGCTGCATTGCACGCGGTTGCTGTGGTGTGCACAGGCGTTGTGGTGTACGCGGGCTTAGTTGATCGTGATTTATCAATCAAACACAAAGTTCCTGTGCAATCCAGAGGCGGCCCGCTTTCCATAACAATTTCCATAGCCGTGGGATCCAGAGGCGTTTCATTTGTCATATGAATTTTAGTTTTAAAGAAACAACCATCCTATCATAAACAATGGTTATCTGTAGAATCCAGGTGCGCTTCACTTTCCACCGGAATTTCCTTCAAAATCTTAGATTCAACATTTATTGTTTGTGGGATCCTGAAATGATCCACTTTCACGGTGCTGGCGTTCTGGAGCGCGCAGGGCTGCTGCAGTCTACAGGCACTGCGGTGTATATAGGCGACGTGATAATCCAGTGCACGCGGCTGCTGTGGTGTACGGAGGCAGTTTGGTGTGCACACAGGTGGAAGTGTGTAGGTCTTGGGCATTGTCGTGTACACGGGGGACGCGGTGTACACGCGATTGATGCGCCGGTTGCGCGGACGCACCCTGGCGGGCACACGCTGCGGCGTCATTATTGTTACCCTCCCGCCCACCCCCCCCCCGGTATCGGCCCAGACTCAGGAAATGAACAAGAATACCCTGGCGAAGGACCCAACCATATGCAGTTGTGAATTCCGCAATTTTGGGCTCCCTGTGGGGCCACGAAGCGCGTGACTGGGTGGGGGGAGAACGCATGCGGGCGACAGCACTAGGGCCGTCGGTGGAGCTCCGTACGGGGCCACGCAGCGCTGTACTGGTTGGGGGAACGCATGCGGGCGGCAGCGCTGGGGCCGTCGGTGGAGGGCCACGAAACACTGTCCTGGGTGGGGGGACGCATGCGGGCGGTAGCAGTGGGGCTGTCGGTGGAGCTCCCTACGGGGCCACGAAACGCTGCACTTGGTGGGGGGGAACGCATGCGGGCGGAAGCGCTGGAACCTTCAGTGGGGCTCCGTATGGGGCCACGATGCGTTGTACTTGGTGGGGGGACGCATGCGGGCGTTAGCATTGGGGCCGTCGGTGGGGTTTTCGATGCGGCCACGAAGCTGTGTACTGGGTGTGGGGGACGCATGTGGCCACCCCCACTGAGGCCTTCGGTGGAGCTCCCTATGGGGCCACGAAGCGCTGTACTGGCTGGGGGGACGCACGCGTGCAACCCCACTGGGGCCGTCGGTGGAGTTCCCTAAGGGGCCACGAACGCTGTACTGGGTGTGAGGGACGCATGCGGGCACCCCCACTGGGACCTTCGGTGGTGCGGTGGTGCTCCCTATGGGACCACGAAGCTGCGTATTTGTGGGGGGGACGCATGCGGGCGCCCCCACTGTGGCCTTCTGTGGAACTCCCTATGGGGCCATGAAGCGCTGTACTTGGTGAGGAGGGGGCGCATGCGGGCACCCCCACTGGGGCTTTCGTTGGAGTTCCTTATGGGGACACGCAACGGGGTACTGGGTTCGGGGGGACGCATGCGGGCCCCCCCACTGGGGCCTTCGGTGGAGCTCCGTATGGGGCAGCGAAGCTCTGTGCTGGGTGTGGGGGACGCATGCGAGCACCCCCAGTGGGGCCTTCGGTGGAGCTCCCGATGCAGTCACGAAGCGGTGTACTGGGTGGGGAAACTGCATGGACGAGGGAGTAGGGGGAGGAGGATGGGGAAGAGGAGGAGGAGGAGGAGAGAGGATGAGAGAGGAACGCGGGGACCGTCTCTTCAACACGAGGACCCAACACCACAGGATGGTTGGGAAAAAAACGATCACCCGTTATCGGGCCTTGTGGCCGTCAACAGCGGATGCAGCAGGAGAATTTACCCCAACACCAGGCCGCGGCAGGGATCGGAACACAGTGTTCTGTACCAGTGTATCAGGTCTCGTGCCCGTCCCACGTCCACCAGTCCCACCAATGCCATTCGGCCGTCCGGGCAGGCCCCAGCAGACCTCGGCCCCGCGAGCCCCACCAGAGCAATCTGGCCCTCCAGACAGGCCTCGGCAGGCCGCGGCAGGCGTCCGAATTTTTTGTCAGGCGTCAGGTTTCGCGCCCGTCCCACACTGCCAGTCCCAGCAGTGCCATCCTGGCCCTGCGGAAAGGGGCCCGCCAGTGTTTCGCGGCGGGCACCCGGGCACGCTCGTGCGTCTCACGTTTCGTGCGCTGCCCGCTCCGCCAGCCTCACCCGTGCCGTCCGACCGTCCAGAGAGGCGCAGGCCCAACCGTTGCAGTGGCCTTCCCGCTCCGCGCGTCCCGCCCGTGTCGCCCGCCCCTCCACGGAGTCGTCGTCGTTTTTCGTGTTCCCTCCTCTTGCTCCGATTCCCAGCGCTTCGTCGTCGTCGTCGTCGTCGTCGTCGTGGTCGTCGTCCCCACTGTTCCACAGCTGTTTCGTAGCCACGTCGGCACCGCCCGTCAGGTGAGGTGCCTCGCCCCCCCGCCTCCTCTTTCTCCCCTGTCTGTAGCCATTTTGACCCAGCCGCCCCGCTATAGCGGAGGCGTTGCTGCCCCCTTCCGTTAAAGCGGCGTCGCTTGTCTCGCGCCTGTCGCCCATCAGGTGCCGGCCGGGTGTCGGCGCTAATCGCCGGCGCCGCCGCCGTGTGTCATTTGGCGAGCGCCATCCCCCGCGATTCGCTAGGGCAGGGGGGCTAATCTGCCTAATCACGCGCCCCGCACTGCATGCGCGCAGTTCGAAATATGTTTGGCCCTCCGTACATCCGTCAGTTCCCAAGGGAATCCGGTGCTACAAACTGCCAGGACAATTTTTCGCATCTCCCTGAAATTCGGTGTTTCGTCTCCCTGGGCCATTCTTCCCAAGGGTGTTCGGTTCAACGAATTTGGGAAGGGATGGATGGAAAGGAAAGGATGTTAAATATGGCGCGAGCATGCTTAGCGTGATTCCCGCCTCTCCTGCACCCTGCCGCCTCCCTGGTCTCTCCGCATTCCCTCCCTCGTCCCTGCCGTCATCGTTCCCTCTTTTTCACCTACGTTTGTTCCCCCTCCTTCCTGTCGCTTCTTCTTGCTCGTTCCTCCCCCCTCGCCCTCAGCTTGCTCCTCGTGTCACCATCCCCCGCGTCCATCCTCGTCGGTGTTTCTTCCTTTCCTGCTCATCCCACCGCTCATCCTTCGTTCCCCCCCTGGGGACAGCCACATATCCCATTCCATTCCTCCTGCTCCTCGGGTGGGGCGGGCAGCGTCTGTGCGACGCCTTTTTTCTCAGGCGCCTCCGACGACCGAAGTTTTAGCGTCTCGTGGCGCGTGGCTCGCACCACCCCCGTTCGGGGGACCCACGATACTCTCTTATCCTCCGTCTTGTTTCTCCTCTTCCGTGGCCGCCCTCGGCTCAGGGCGTCCGCGGCCAATGTCTCGGCGTCCCAGAATTCGAGCGCCGCGGTTTTATGGAAACTCAGTCTCCCTGAGGTGAGGATCCCTCGCCCGCGACAGGCTAGGCTCTTCATCCCGAGCCCTTTTTGACGGCCCCAAGGCCTGGCAAATGGCGAACAGCCTCCCGTGGCGTTTTCCCAACGACGCGAGGAATTGACCATGGGGCCCACCTCCATCATACTCCTTCCCCTCCGAGCGCGAATCGCACTTCTGAAGCCACGGCCTGCACGCCATGCCCTCACGGGCGCGGGCGAGTTCCGCTCCGGAGCGCGCACGATTGGCGTCCGCTTCGTTGCGCTTCGCTGTGCCTTCCTCGTTACCACGGCTTGGCCTTCCTCGTTACCACGGCTTGGCCCTCGCCGCCGCGTGAGAAAACAATTACATGGGAAATCGACAGTTCGAGTGTGCGTCATCAGCTGAAATTGTGACGCTCAAACCGGCTCGCCTAGGTCAGGCCTGGGGCGCGGGGCGTTGATTCTCGCCACGAGATTTGGCCCGTAGAAGCTTGTGGGAGCCTCCTCCCTTGCCATCCATGGCCACCTTGGCTCAGGATGCCCCTGGCCCATGGCTAGGACGGGGCGCCGCTGGGCCCCCAGCCAGGCCCGCGGCGCCGCCGCCGTGGTTTGTGAATTCCATCTTCAGACAGTGGCGAAGCGTCCCGGCGTGCCTGTGGGCCTATCAAACCATGTTCTAAAAAATTGTGGTGGTTTCCACGAAATGTTCTTAGAACATTTCTGGCTGGGAGTGTCTTGTTTTCGCACATCGGGTTTATGGTATAAGAACGTTGTTTTTGCTCATACGAACTTTTTTGGTATCTAAGAACATTGCGTGATATAGGCCTATAGGAATGCCGGGACGGTTGGTCCCTGCTCAACATTTGGAGGTTGGGACATGGTGTTGTGTACAAGGGGTGTGGTGCCGCTGCCGAATATGCCCATGCTGTCGGTTGCGCATGGCATATCCACTTCCACGACTGGCGCCGCACCCCTCTACGCCATGCCCCGTTCCGACCTCCAACGTCCGAAGCGCCGCCCGCGGAGATGCCGCCGGGCGCTGCGCCGCGGCCTCGCGGCGGCTCGCGCTGCAGCGCGGCGCCGCCCGAGGGCGGCGAGGGGGCGGCGCGCGACGCCGCAGCGCCGCTCGAGTGGCACGGCCCGCGGCGGCGCCCGCGTGGCGCGGTGTCGCGCGGCGCGCTGCTGACGTGGGCGCTGGCGTCGCAGGTGAGCGACAGGAGAAAACTTCGAGGCGGGGATTTGAACACAACCACCGCCTGGAAGGTCGATTGTCTCGGGCCTCCACAGGCGGGTCCCCAGGCTATCTATATATATATATATAGAATGTATGTATGCGTGTATATATGTTTGTAAGTATGCATGTATAGATATATGACTGCATTGGCGCTTCGCGCCATGCTCCTTGGTCCTTGATGCTTTGCTTATGTTGGTCGTTCGCGCCATCCCTAGTGGCCTTGGAAATGCGGCCCCTTCCCTGCGGAGGTTTTCGGAAGTCTTCGAAAGTTCGGGCGGTCCCTGGCCCTTCCCGGGCCTCTGTGGGCTCCCGAAAGGCGCCGGGTGGAGGGCGAAGGATAGGAGGGAGGGAATCTCGGGGAGCGAGGAGAGGGAAGCGGACTATATATATATATAGAGAGAGATGATACATACATATGTAAACATAAATATATACACACACACATCCACCGCACGCAGGGTCCATAAGACGTCGGCTCCCAGGCGATATATATATATATACATATAGCTACGTACATATATGTGTATATATATATATATATATGTGGACAACTTCCCGCCTCGCAGGCACAGGGTCGACTGCGCGGACATGGGCGCGAAAGCTGCCCGCGTAAGGTCGCCTGTGAGTGCCCTCGTCTCCAGTGCGGCGTGCCTCACTGGCGGCCCGCGTAAGCCCTGGCGTAGGGTCCTACCAGCCTGGAACAGATCCCTATCCGAATGAATGGCATCGCCTCATCTCGAGGTCCACCTGAAGGATTCCCCCCTTTTTTGAGGGCGCATGCCTGAGGTCACCATTGCCTCTCAGCTTGCCGATCCGAGGGATCGAGATCTAAAGACAAGTTCGAGGCTGGTTGGGGTCGCCGTGTCGTCTCGCGCGAGGCCAGCTTTTGGTCGTCGCCCAGGTGGCCTCCTGCGAGGGGCGGCGGGTGCGGGCCGCCGCGAGCGCGGAGGGGCTGGGCGGCGCCTCCGCCGTGGCCGGGCGGCGGCCTTGGAGGGCCACAGCTCTGGGCCTCCAAGAGCTCGACTGCAGTCGGACCGATGTGTAAGATCGAGTTCGGTTCGGGAAGGGCCGTGGCGCCCGAGGCATGCTCCGGAGCCGCCGGATCTGAGAGATTCTCGATTGATCCTCGCCCGATGTCATCCTCGTCTTGGCTTCGTCGGACCGAGGTACAAGATCGAGATTGGTTCGGGGAGGGTGCCCTGGTGTTCTTCGTGTGGTCTTTCGCCGGAGCGATCTTTGGTGCGGGTTCCTCGGGGTCCCCCCGACCACTAAGTGCGATGTGATAGCGGCTGCTTGCCCGCTTGGACTTGGCCATTTCGCGCCCCCATCTTCCGCTCACTAAAGGTCACTCTTGCCCAGGGCCATTCCTGTGTGCGGCCGAAGACCGGAGGCTGCCAGAAGTTGGCATCGTGCCAGACAGTGTGAACCATTCGGGGGCGTCTTGGATCGTTTAAAACAGCATGCACGACACCGACCTAATGCACAGGGAGAGCACGTTCGAGCGATGGCAAGAGAAGGGTTCGTTGGACAAGGTCGTGAGGCCCCCCCCGGCCCGACCTGAGGCCCCCTGTGCTCGACCTGAGCCCTTCTTGAGCCAGGCCTCGCCGTTCCCAACCAGATGAGGTCGGAGCAGATGGGGTCGGAGGATGGTTCGGGCCGGGCGAAAGGGGGGGATTGGGAAAGGGGGGGGGTCACGAAATCTGCTGCGTGCAGCTGGTTTCGGCCTCACCGAGGGGCCCATTCCTCGATACATGGCCGCCTCCGGCGCCGGGAGGCGCCGGGAAAATCAGCTACGTGAGCTGATTCTCAACCCCCCCCCTTTGCTATCCCCCCCTTTCGCCCGACCCGACAGATGGGGTCGGAGGATGGTGCCGCCTCGCCGAGGCATGTCCGATGCGTCGGCGATGCGGCTCGGTGTGGAGCCCGATGTTCTCCACGCCGACGGCGCCGATCCACCACTGGCGTCGCTGATGTATCGCCACTGCACCGACGATGCTGTGCAAGCCTCTCGCCCCATCTTATCGGACTCCATCTCGGAGTCCTCCATCCCAGCGTGGGGGTGATTTGGCCATGGGGCCATCCCAGACATGCGGCGTCCTGGCTTTTCCAGTGCGCGTTCCCCGGGAATCCCGATGTCTTCCCCGGGGCCGATTTTTCATCTTGAGTCGTTTTTGTTACGGTCCTGGGGCCCGGCGAGGGACAGCAGAGTCCGAACATTATGAACATCTCTCCGTCCTGATTTTTTTACGACGCGAGACGATGGCGGGGTCTTGGAGGTTTTTGGTCGCGGCTTCCCTCGGGCCCCCAGGGCCGTCGACAGCCGGCTCTGATTCGAGAGCTGGCCAAGCCCTTGCAAACGGGGCGTTAGTAAACGGGCCAGTAGCTAAGGGTGCATTTTCAATGGTGTATTCAATCGTTGATTTGTCGCACAAGTGCGAGGTAACCCCCCCTCTGCCCAGAGTTATTATGATGTATCAACGTATTTGGCGTTCCGATTTATGACGCACTAGTGCGAGGTAAATGCCCTGTCGCCCCGCTCTCGCTTGACGAGGCCCCTCAGCTACCGCCCTGTTCACTAACGCGTCGTTTGTAGGGGCTTGGGGTGGTTCAGGGTGGAGAGCTGGTCCCGAGGGTGCGGGCCCTGCTTCCATCATGACCCGTCTCGTTCATGCCAAGGGGCTGCAGAGGAGCGAATCGTGCCCCCACTGTGACCCCTCCCCGTTTTCCCCTTTTTGGGTATCCTGGGAGGCCCTCGTCGCCACCGCTGCATTTGCTTCGAAATTCTAGACAAAAGCGCACCCTGGGAGAGGTCCGGGGAGTAGCGGTATCGGTACCTCCGGGTTTCCCCGATGTTGTGTTACGAATGTTGTTGTGTATTTGTTGTTGTGTCATCTTGGGTTGGCGTCTAGCGGGCCTTGGTGGCCACGGCTCAGCGTAGCTCGCGAGGGACCACAGGGGATGGTTCCGATGATCGGTTCTGCGCTGGTTTGAAGCAGGGTTAAGTAGGGCGTGTCCCTCTACAGGAGGAATATTCGAAAATAGTCAAAAATGCTCGAAACAGTGCATCGCCGATCTGTCGCCGATGTATTGGTGATGCGGCGCGATCCTCCGACCCCATCTACTTCGACCCCATCTTGGAGGCGTCTAGGTTGGGCGGGCGGGGTGGTCCAGCATTGGTTCTGGCTCGTAGGAAGGGAGGGGGAAGACGGCGCCCCCCCGTCGCCACGGCTGGACGCGGCTCGACAAAAATCTTGTCGGTTTCGTCCACGGGAGGGGTCTGGAGACCGATTCAAGCTTGGGTGCCCCCCTCCCGGGCCCAGCAAGAACGCTGAAAGTCGGCGGACTCTTGGTCCCAGCGTGGCCCTTGGGGTGGCCAACCTGCACACGGCGCCCTCTGGGGACGAGCCCGCGCGGAGCTGGGAGCGGAGCTACTGCCTCGCGCGGGAGGAGATGGACACCTCCGTGTACCCTCCGGAGGAGCTGGCGGGCCAGTATGCCTTGCGGATGCCCATTCCGGCAACGGTCCTCGGGAACGTGCACCTGCTGATCAGGTCGCCGTGGGGGAAGCGGGCCTTGAGGGAAACGGGTCCCGAGGGCTGTCGCAGTTTTCGGGCGCACTGGGCCCTCCACGGGGCCCGGGGCTGTCAGAAAACGACTCCGGACGAACAGCTCGTCCGGGGGGAATTGCCCAGAGTCCAGGAACCGTTTCCCCCAGGGCCCGTTTCTTTCCCCATGCTCATCAGGGACGTGCAGCTGCGGTACATCCGCGCGGAGCTCGAGTTCACCCGGACCCCCTGGGACACCGTGCTCTTCGAGCTGCGGGGGCCTGACGGTGAGCCCGCGGTGCTCAGGGTGTGGCTGGACGGCGTCGACGTCAAGATCCCAAATTCAAAGGTTGGTCTGGGGCTCGATTTTTTGAGCAGCTTCGTGAACATGAACTCGTTCCCTGCTGCACTGGAGCTCACCATGTCGGGGGAGCTGGAGCTCAACGAGCACGATAGCTGGGTCCTCGTCCGGAGCAGCGAGAAGCACTCGATGAGGCTGAAGCTCGATAAAGAGGGCCGTCTGACGAACTTGGTGAACAAGGCTCTGGCGCTCGCTGGCGGGATCGGCGAAGTCCTGTACCATCAGGTCTGGCCCCACATCTCGAAGGACACAACTCAGCATTGACAAAAACCTTCAGAAGTCCGCGCGTGCTTCTTAGCTCGGCTCTGCAATCCCTTTCCAGCGCGCGGAGCCCGCTGGGGGCGGCGCCGGAGGCACCGCCAGGGTTTCCAGCGCCGATCCAAGTCATCAGTGTGGACCGCCGAAGATTTATGTTTACGCCGTCTTTGGTCCATCCAAGATCGGAACCATGATCCCCGCGTGGCTCGCAAAGTCGATGTCGGCGTTGCCGCCGTCGGTGGGTGAGATGGCGCACACGATCGCCCTCGAGGGGGCGTGCGAGAATCCCCGGGGCAGCAGAACACCACAGTGACGGCGCGGACCAGCGCCTTCCCCCCCCTCCTCCTCCTCCTCCTCCTCCTCCTCCTCCTCCTCCTCCTCCTCCTCCTCCTCCTCAATTGCATTCCCCCCTCCCCTTCCTCCTCCCCTTTCTCTCCCCCAATGCTTCTTGCCCCCCTCCTCTTCCCTCCCCCCCGCAGTTTCTCGCCTCCCCTGCCTCCTCACTATCACCTCACCGTTGCCTTGACACTGCGCGGACGTGTGCAGTTTTTCCTTGGGGAGGACCATCGAGGAGCATCGAGTAACAAAATTAAGGCACTCACAACAACGAAAAATGCACGGGGAATGGACGTCCGAGCGATGGCGAGTTGCCCCATGGGGGACGAACCACTCACTGCCACCAGCACTGCAATTGGCCGAGGGGTCGCGACCGGGCCTACTGTTGGAATAGGCAGAGGCCGAGGAGAGTCCGAGGCCAGTGTTGTTTCTATAGAGGTCAAGCTCAAACTGTTGACGCAATCTTGACGCTCGGGCAGAATCTGCTTTTCGACGAGCGGACAGCAGGCGCCCCGCGCACCCGCGGGCGCCCAGGAAGGCGCCGATCAGTCCGGCGCGTTGGGGAGCTGCGCGCGCCGCGCCGCGCTGCCCCCCAGCGGAGCGCAGTGGGGGCGCGCGGGCAGAATCTGCACAACGACCCGCAGGGCCGCGAAACACGCGGCGTTCCCTCGCGGGCCCGCCGCCCGGAACGAGAGCGGCGCGGTCCCCGGAAGAAACAGGCACAGGGGTGCGCTGTGCGCAGCGGTGCCCGCGAAGTGTGGTGGCGGTCCATGGGGCCCTGCTGTCCGACGCTGCGGCTTGTCCGACCAGCTTTAAGTTGGGTCCGTCCCTCTTCAGGGGCAAGACTCAAAAATAGTGAAACAATAATCTGGGGATGATTTTTGCGAGTATTTTGTGTTTCCGTTTTTTTTGTTTTTGTTTTGTTTTCCGTATGTTTTATGTTTTCGCCCAAAATCCCTTTGTAGGGGGACAGGCCCGCATAAGACCAGCTGTCTCTTTCACAGCCGGTTCCTCGCATCTCCAATGCCGGCCTGCACTCAAGCCTGAGAGTAAGGACGATCGGCTTCCAAATCGGCGTGGCCCCAACATGCTTATACCATGTGTGCGTCGCTCCCCCAGGGGCGACGCTCGCACCGAGAAATCTTACAGTATAAGTGTCGTCGCGGGCGCTTGATGGCCACACCGCTCGGGAGCCGATCTACTCCAAGATGGGTATGCTATATGCTCGGGTCGGTGGCGCGCCTCCGAGGTGGACACATAGTATTGGTATGTCGTTGTGCGTCCCGTCCAAAGAGCACCCTGGCATCCTAGCCTCTTCGGTCATCTTTGGTCCATCCTCAACAACTCGACGGCCAGCCCCGCTCGAGAAGCCTTGGCATGAGCGTCAAAGGCCATTACACAATTGCCGAACATACTTATTTTATGGGTTGACTGTATGGGGTTCGTTGTCTTGGCATCGCTCGGACGTTTGCACTTTTTCGGCGAGGGCCATCGAAGAGCAGATTGGATCATGTGACGGTGGAAATAAACGCACCGGCTGCCTGGGGGGCCACGCGGAGTCTGTGGCGTCGGCTGCCCCAACGTCCCGTGGCAAAGAATGACCTCCTGTGCCCGGACCACCTGGCCAAGGCGGCGGTGCGTGTGAGGACCCTCGCAGAACAAGCAATTGCATGGGTAGAAAACTTTCGGAGCTCCGCGCGGATTTCCTGTGTCGGCTCTTGGCGCCGCTGGGGGCGCCTCCGGCGCCGCCCGTGCCGCGCCCCGCGCGCCAGGGGAGAGGGGGCCCATTGCTGACTCAGGAAGTCCGCGCGGAGCGTCAGAAGGGGGAGGAGGGGGAGGTCGAGGACGACGGCGAAGAGGGTCGTAGCCCTGGGGAGACACAGGACCGCAAGTCTGTGGTCGAAGTAAGAGGACGAAGACGAGGGCGAGGTCGGGGAGGACGAGGAGAGGACGAGGACGAGGCGAAGGAGAGGAGGTCGAGGACGACGGCGAAGGAGGAGGTCGAGGGCGAGGAGTAGGAGGACGAGGAGGGCGAGCGAGGTCGAGGACGATGGCGAGGAGGAGGAAAAAAGGCCCCCGAGGACGGACCTGACCTTCTCGGCGCGGGCCCTCGTTGAGGCGCTGGCTGCGGGCGCCGTGCCGCAGATGGAGCAGGTCGCCACCGCGTACCGCGGGGGCGAGGACCCGCCCATGCAGGGCAGGGTAGGGTTCAGTCGGGCGTGTCCCTCTACAGGGGGAATATTCAAAAATAGTCAAACAATAGTCAGGGGACGATGTTTCGACTGTTTTTGAACATTTGGGGGATATTTTTTGAGTATGTTTTTTTCTCCAAGATCCCCGTGTAGGGGGACACGTCCGACTTGAGGGTAGGGCCCTTCTCTCAGTGGCGAGCGCGGGAGGGCAATGAGCAGGAGAAGGCCTTCTCGGAAGGCGGCGCGGGTCTTCTCAGAAGCCCACGCGCCCGTGAGAAGCCTCATGATTGAGCCTTCTGAGAAGCCCGCGCACCTTCTGACAGGTGATCCGTGTCTTCGGGGAATGCTCGGAAAGCTTCTCAGGAGGCCGGGGGGCTTCGGAGCCTTCGGGGAAGGCCCTCCCCTTCTCACTTCCCCTCCCCGCTCGTCGCCGATTCTCGGCGCAGCGCCCTCGCGCCCGAGCCCGACTTCCCAAGACCCCCTCGTCGGGGGGGGGAAGAAACAAACGGTACCGATGCCGCCTGCCGCCGCCCGTGCCTTCTCTCGCCTCTTTGGCGCCTCGGGGGGGGGGGCACCTCGACGCCTCGGCCGGTTTTTCCGCTCGTGGATTCTGGCCAGCGCGAGCGCCTCGGGAGAGGTCCGGAGAGCAGCGGTAGCAGTATACCTTCTGGTTTCTCCACCTCGGGTAGGGAGAGGGGGAGGAGGAGGAGGAGGAGGAGGAGGAGGAGGAGGAGGAGGAGGAGGAGGAGGAGGAGGCTTCAGAAGGAGGAGGAGGAAGAGGAGGAGGCGGAGGAGGAGGAGGAGGAGAAGGAAGAGGAGGAAGAGGAGGGGGAGGAGAGGGAGGAGAGGGAGGAGGAGAAGGAGAAGGAGGAGCAGTCAGGTGGCCTGATTGCTTTGCCTCCAGCGTGCGCGTGGGGCATGACGTTCGACGCCGGCGGCATCGGGATCAGCGAGGGCGGGGAGCGCGGACGTTTTAGGGCTCTCTGGGGCCCGTACGGCAGCTTCGCGCGGCGATGGCGCGACGGCGACGCCAGCGAGGGCGTTCAAGTTTGAACTCTGCCTGTCAGAACGCCGCGGAACCACGCACGGGCACGGGACGGCCTCATGACGTGACCGACTTCAGCCTTGGAAGATCGGTGCCGCGATCGGTTCAGGGCGCAACGATCGGCGTGGTGTCAGAAACCGTTGGCTCGCGCCGACGCTGCACGAACTTGTCGTGCCTCGGCGCAGCGCCCGCACGCCCGAGCCCCACTCCCCAGAACCCCTATCGGGCCATTGGGAAATCACGACAGAGGCTTCTGTGATAGCTTTCCCCATCTAGGGGGCCTTCAGAATCGAGGATCGAGAGTCCCAAACCCCCTCGTGGGACTGCTTCGCCGGATTAGGCGGTAAACTGTGCGGGATGAAGCCGGAATGAGCAGGATGAAGCCGCATGGAACGGGATTGGGCTGGATTCAACCGGATTTCGGATCAGGGCAAAGTCAGAATTTGATTTCCAAGGGGTTGCATCCGAATTTGGGTGTCCACGTCCAGAGAGGAAACATGGCGTCGGGGGATGTTCTAGGATCGGTCGTGTTTCGTGTGGCGCCTGGCCCTTTTCAGCCGAAGGGGTATGTGACCGACAAGAACAAGCGATTGAGCATGTGGCCGAAGTTGAACATCGCTTTGGTTTCGAATTAGGACTTTCGGTCACGCTCTGGTGCGTTCGGCAAAAGATCGGACGGTAGTTTCGGCCATAGTCGGGCAGATTCTCGGGCACAGTTTCGGTCACGACACCCCCCTGAACGCACCCTGAGTTTCGGCACAGTCGTGGCCGCTGGCCCGAGTCTGGAAAACGTCTGAGAGCCGACGATGACGCACGAAGCCCTCGAAGCACGAACCACAGGCTTGAGCTCCACGCCGAGAGGACGTCCTCGCAGGGCTCCAGGGCTCCGGCAGCGCGGAGCTGGACCTGCACCGCAGCGGGCAGCTGGACTTGCGGCTGGCACCCGAGCTGCAGGCGCCCCCCGCGCTGCTCGAGGCCCTGCAGCGGGCTTTCCCTTGGAGCCGGCTGGGGGGGCTGAGGTGGCCCAGCACCTGATGGGCATGTTTTCGACCACCACTACCACAAGTTGGATGGGGAGGGGGTCCTCCACCTCCTCCTCCTTCTCCTCCTCGTCCTTCGAGAGTAAGATTACGACACCCACCCCGCAATACATATGTCAATGTATTTTCATTACCCGTGACGCGAAATTTGCCTCGGGGCCCAAATATGCCGACTTCGGGGGGTCGCAGGGGACGTCTTGGACGAGTTGCCGACGCTTCGCGGAGGCCGCCTTCGCGGGGGCCCAGCGAGCCCGCCGACTGCACGCGGCCATACAGGTCGCCGCCAGCATCGATGATGTTCGTACTCGTCTGCACGGGTGAGACCAGCCCTCACGAATCCGCGGTATTTCCAGAGGCGTTTCGTTTTTTCCGCGAGGCAGCGGGTGTATATAAAAACCATAAAGAAACATGATGTACACCCGCCCAAACGAAGTATACACCCACCCAGACATTTGTACACGCGCAAAAGTATAACACATGTCTCAAGAAAGCGACGTATGCACCCACCAAACCCGGTGCACCGAATATTGGCGTATTTCTAGAGAGACGAAAGCCCTCTGGCGCTGAGTCGTTCCTCGTCATCCACCTCCTCTCCCCCTCCAGCTTACGGTGGTGGTGGTGGTGGTGGTGGTGGACAACAGGCCCATCAGGCACCGGCCCCGGCAAGCAGAACCCGAAGACCCAGATGTGGTTCGAGATTCGAGGTTTCGGCCACGCGCGCAGAGGAGGAGGAGGAGGAGGAGGAGGAGGAGGAGGAGGAGGAGGAGGAGGAGGAGGAGGAGGAGGAGAGGGTAGGGGGGAGGGGGGAAGGCTTATCAGAAACACCCCCCCTTCTCAGAAGGCGCGGGCGCCCCTTCCACAAAACTCGTGGCTGCTTGTTAGAAGCTGTTCCTGGCATGCTTCTCAGAAGCACGTGGCCTGCTTCCAGGCAGCTGCTTCTGCTTCCAAGAAGTGGTTCCGTGCTCCTAAGACGCTGCTTGCAGGAACCCGGGAGCCCAGCTGTGGTTCGAGGTCCGAGCTTTTCGGTGTTCCGTCGATGCTCGGCGGTTTTCCAGCCTCGGGGTGCGTTCCAGCGGCTGCGCTTCGCCGAGAGCGCTGCAACGGTGCCAGAGTGGTGCCGAGAGCCGAGCCGCGATGAGAAAGCAAGGGTTGGGCCGACCTCGAGGGTCGGGCGTTGCAATTTCCGCACACCGGCCGTTTCCGTACAGTTTCGGGCTTCAGGGCCATCAGTAGGGGAACGAACAATGACGTATACATGAAAACTCGGAGGTCCGCGCGGATTTCTCGGATCGACGCTGGGGCCCCATGGCGGCGCCTCCGGCGCCGCCCCTGGCGCGCTCCGCGCGCAAGGGCGGGGGGCCCAGCGCGGATCCAAGGAATCTGCGAGGACCTCCGAGTTTCTACGTTTGTGTCAGTGTTCGTTCCCCTCATCAATGGACGATATGGCTCGACAAGTGGCGCAGGAAAACGGATTCTGGGGCTCCTGTCGTCAGGTGTCTCAAGGTTCCAGTCTACTTCCGTTGGCGGAAGGGGCCCTGTCGTCTCCATGGATGGACGCGGCTTGAATGAATTGTCGGGTTCGACCACGGTATGGCTCGGGACCCGCTTCGACCGACTGGGCCCACCCAGCTCTTCCCCCCTTGACCGAGTTTCTCTGGGCTTATCCATCTCAGACCCCACCGCCGCCTCCAAGCCGTCCTGCCGTCCGTGTCGCTCGGCGACTTCGTCCCGGCCTCCGGCGCGATGTCCCTGGAGGCGGCCCCGGCGGCGTGCGCATCGAGGGCGCCGCATTTTTTTCTTTCAGAGTTTTCGCCGGGTTGCGCGGCCTGGGATTATGTGGCGGATTGAAGGAGGGGCATCGCCTTCGAGGATCGGAGTTGCCGTTTCATCCTCGGCGGATGGCCAGCCGAAGGCGGCGGAAGTAAGACGGCGGCGGCTCCGCCAGCGGAAGTCAGCGGAAGGCCGACGAAGGCCGGCGGAAGCAGAAGATGCGCCCCCTTCACGGATTGCAGCATCTGTAATTGCAGGGTTTCCGGGACCCGCCATGTTGATCCGGCCCAAAACATGCCGCCTCATAATGGTGATGGTGTGGCTGGAGCTCCAGTTGCGATGTTCGTCGCCACGGCTGGACGCGGCTCGGACACCTGGTCGTCGGGACCCCTGGAGGGATCCGAGACCCGATGTTCGGCGACGCGCAGAGGGGGGTATGGGGCAAGGGGGAAGGCCTCTCAGAAGGAGGCTGCTTCTTGGGAGGCGCGGGCCTTGTCCGTAGATGTGATGCTGGCGCCTTCGAAGAGGCAGCCCCCGTCTAGGAGACCTCTCCCCTCCCCCTGGACCCCTTGCGCGCGCCGCCAAGGTGCAGTACGTGGTCCCTGGAAGTCCCGACCTGTTTTGCCTGGGGACTGATCTCATCCTCAAGACGCCCTGTGATGGCCCTGGATGCCGAAGGCTTCTGTTTTTGTTCCGCAGCTACGTTGGAGGTCTGGGTCCAGGGACCGAATTTGAGCTGCCGATGTCTCAGTTCGTGCCGATCGGAGAAAGTGCGGGGCGAGGATTAGAGGTCCTGGAGGCTTTCGCCGTTTTGGCGCTCCCCACAGGGACCTGGGGCCGGCCAGGGTCGACTCGGGATGAAGACCCAGACCCCATTCGCGTCGCAGAGAAATGCACCACGGAAGGTTTTTGTTTGCTGTTTTCGGCACTTGGGGGCGCTCGCCGGCCCCTAACGGCCGTCAAGAACCAGTCGGCATGAAGAACCAGTCCTGGCGAAAGGGTCGGGACGTCTGGGGACTCCGCACGTATTGAAAATTTCCAGGCATCGGGGTGCTCGGGCGGGTGGTGATGGGGGGTCACCTGAGTGGGGGTGAAGGACAGGGCCCTGCAGGAGCCCTCGGGGGCACCTTCTGGAGCCAGCAGGGGCCCTTCAAGGGGCCCGAAGATGCCTTCACCCCCCATTTCTTCGGAGGTTGATCGACCTCTTACCCTGACACGTTGATTGGTAAATTGTCCGCTTTTGGCTCGCGAGAGGGCGTCGCGGCCGCCATCTTGGCGGGTCCAGGTCCGTCGGTTTCGGTCCTAGGCAGTTTTCACCAGAGGGTGGTTTACCAAAGGGAGGCTACTTAGGCCACCCCCCATTGGCCGCCCGCCCGAGGCAACCGCACCGAAAGCATCAAGACCTCGCATGTCTGTCTGGGGTGCGATCCTCCCCCTCCCCGCGCCGTGTCCACGAAGTCAGCTCCGGCGGCGCGCGCACCGGCGCTCCGGCCGCCCCGTCTCGACTTCGACCTCCTTGTTGGCCCTCGCTCGCAGCCGCCCCTCCGTCCCCCTCAGAGAAGGAGGAGGAGGAGGAGGAGGAGGAGGAGGAGGAGGAGGAGGAGGAAGGCTCCGCGGTAAGGCTCCGCGTAGCTTGGGGCAGACAGGGCGCGCGCGCAGCACGGAGAGTGTCACGTGTGAGCTATTTTAGGTGTGCCGGTCCATCCGCGTTTTCAAGTGCACACGGGGAGTGTCAACCAGTTTCGTCTTTGGGCAGGCGCGCACGCACGCGTGCGAGCAGTGTTGCATTTGTTCATGATTGTGTGCAGGAGCCGTGGCCAGGCTCAGGCCCAGCGGTGCTGAAGGCCCGATGTAGGGCCGCATGTCGACAGGTCTGGCCCGACTCCGCAAGAAAGGCGTCCTTCGATTATCGCCGGTTCTACCGAAAGGAGAATATCCCATCTCAATCCGGACTTAGTTATAGCCGACGGGGAGGTGAGGGTTCAGCACACCATTTTCTTCATAGACTCGTTCTTCCTGATTGGCCTTGGACATTCTGTGGGTGTGGTGCGCCTACATATTACACGTTCCTTTTTTGCATCACGGTCTATGACGCATCTGGGATCTGATTGTGTCCGTTGGCCTGCCCCCATTGGTCAACAGGCACTTGCGGCAGCGAAGCTCATTACACCTATCCGTCCCCTCCTTCACTACGACTTGGGTCTGGCCGATCTGTTTGTCATTGAGGACTTCGTATGGAACCATTGCTTTCGGCAGACAGCCCTCATCGAATTGACATTGGTGGCAAAGGTTCTCTTGGACAGTATCTTCCCTCTTGGAGGGCCTATTCGTTTCCGGTCTTGCAGCGCAATGATACTCGCGCATGTGCTCGCTGCTCTTGGGGTTGCGCGCATACGGAGGGCGACAATGTCTCGAGCTGTTCCCGGGTGGGCGAAAGATGTTCTCAGATTCTTACCTCCTGGGTGGCTCAGCAATATCCAGAATCCAGGGGCTCCGCTGATCCAGTACATCCGTTCTATCGCCAACGGCCACCTCCCGGACACGCCTTCCGCTTCTGGGCCACACGGTGCACAATCCGTGGTATACGCTCTGTTTTCTCATTCTGGCGTCTACGTGGGAAAGAGCAACATTCAGCGTACTCATGGCGTTGGCTATGCTGCCAGGGTCTTTGAGCACATGAAGGGCATCTTGGACCTCCGGCACAAAGAAAGTGGCAAGCTACGGTACAAGATGATGCGGAAAAGTTTGGGTTCCGTTTGCATGCTTCCTGTGGTCGGCGTTGAGACGGAATCCCGAGCTCTAGCCTTGGAGTCGTGTGCAATCAAGATCGGCCGCCCCAAGTGCAACGCAGAGGAGCTGAAGCCGTCCACCAGTAAACACAGGTCTTCGCGCTCTTCCTCGAGGAGCCGACCTTCGTCGTGGCGCCGGGAGCGGAGACGAATACCACATTCTATTTGGGCTAGCCCTGTAATTTCGAAAGCTGTGCGTCGGGTCGAACAGGATGCAAGTGTACTACATGGTGCTCGAGGGTTCAATTTACGCTTCAAGGATCTATACACTTTGCACCTACAGGAGTCTTTCGGCATGTCGGGGGAGTACGGCCCACTATGGATATTTGACGCTACCCGTCTAAATTTGTTTTTGAGTTACGCTGCGAGTTGGAAGCCGTCGATCGTTCTACCTTGGGCATGGGGCCGGTACCGCTTGGCTGCGTTCCTATACCGTGCAGCTGAATTTCGTGACAACATACGCCCGACCAGGGCAAGGAAGATTGCCATGAACAAGACTTTACGCCACCTGCTCGCCCAAGTTCGCTGCCCATTATCGGTTCCACCTTTTCGTCTACCAGGGTCATGCGCCGGCGCAGGGGAGAAGGAAGTTCGCCGTACTGTCTTCCAGGCAATCTCCAGGATCCGGTTTTCCCCGTTGAGGCTGTGGCTGGCGAGGTATGTCCAGTTCGTCTTCAAGCGGGCGCCCCGCTGGAAGGACAAGGTCGATGCCAACAGGAGGTTCCGGGAGGCACGCTACTCGATACCACCAGCGATCGCACCTGGCGTTCTTCCGTGTCCGATCCACTTTCAAGCATTACATGGTGAGTGGAGGTTACCAGTGTGGCCAACCCCAGCTTCTATCTCAAAGGAGTTGGGGCGTTCTTGGACGATTTGGGGTCGAGCAGTTCGTCTTCCTTCTAGTCTCCGACATTCGGTGCGCGGCACACTCGGACATGCTGGTGTTGTTGGCCTTCCTGTGCAACCTCTTCAGTGGCGCAAGTTCGAAGTTCACCTTCGCGAGCAGTTGTACCGGGTCCGCGGGCAGTCCATTGTAGGCGACGACAAATTTCCCAACCGGTATTGGGCAGGCCCGATGGACGAATTGACGCCATATTTTTTAGCTTCGCTCAACTCTGACCCCTCGTGGCATCATCGTCCTGAGCTTGATTATGGGGATTGCGCAGCGTGGCAGATCGCACAGGCACGTCTTGGTGTCCCGAGGTTCTTGCAGGCTTCCATGAGCCGTTCTACGAGCGCGGCCCAACCAGCCCATGCCTTCCCCCTCGTCAAGAGCAAGTGCTTCCAATGTAATGGGGTGCGATCTTGTGTCAAAGACGGCCACAGCTGCTGGCGGCGAGTCGTAGATTCCAGTTGCGCGTTTGGCAGAGCTGCGTGGGAAGTTGTTGGCAGGGGCCTGCGGGGAGTTGCGCGTCGGTGCACGCTCTCCGATGAAGTTTGGGGCATGCGGGATGTACGGAAGGATTTGGACACGATGCTCAGTCGTTTGTCATCGCCACCTACTTCGTCGTGCCGCCGTTGTTCCTCGCCGTTGGATGGTACCCTCCAGTGCGTCGTCGCTGACGCGGACCAGGCGTTTGAAGCTTGCCGAGCGGACCGCGTGTTGGAGGATTGGGATTATATATCTTCGCTATATGTTCAACGGTTTCGCACGTCTTCCATTCTTGTACGCAAGGGCACACGGGATGCATCCCGACCTAACACTTCTGGATCGTACGGCCGGGGTTGGTGGTGCTTGAGCGTACGAGATCTCAAGAAAGGTTTGGCGGCATACACGCTGGAGACTCTCGTGGTGGCGGCTGGCCAGATCTTCAGCCTGGATGGTATCTCAATTGGTGGGATCATGTCTGCGGCGTGCGTGTCCATCGTGCTCGGCGCCCAGGAAGCCAGGTGGAAAGACAATTCAGACGGACGCCGGAATGCAGGTTTTCATTTTGGTTCTGATCCTCTGGAGACGGTCATTGGCAAGCTGCGGTACGTTGACGACATTTTGGCGTGCTCCCGATGCGTATGCCGCCGCTGCTTGTTCGATTTCTTGCAGTGCTCTTATGATGTCAAGCTGAGTTTGGTTACTGATCTGGATCCCGCAGGGCCATGGTCTGGTGTATGGCTCGATCTTGGCATTCACGCTTCGGGGCAGGATCTCACCGTCATCCCAAATAATGAAAACAGAGCGTGGTTGCAAGGGCGTGGACCTCGCGGCCGGCCCGCACTTCTGTCCCGGCCTGGTGTCCCTGTTGGGGGATTCGGGGTCCTCCGGGCCACGATCATGCAGAAAATCACGAGAAGCCGGGAGCTCCAGGTTCCTGGGGACGTGGCTGTTCTATGGGTTATGGAGATATTGTTTGAGTTGTTCCTCTTGTCTTACCCAATGTCGCTTCTCCGTGCTCTTGTCCACAGTATTCCTCCTGGCCCTGTGGCTCGAGGTGTCCGGCTCGGTTTCCGCATCTTGCATTCGGCCATGGGGGCGACCGACCGGCAGGGGAGCGGGCGCCGGAACCACCACGATGACCGCCGCGATCATCGTTACCGGCAGGATCGCGGGAAGCAGTACGACGGGTACGACAATCGCCGGGTGGACGCCGGCGTGTCGCCACTTCGGGGGTATACTTCGAATTTTCCTCAGAAGCACTATGGATACTATTCTTGGGGTAGCCGCCGCGGCCGCGATGATTACCATGATCGTGGAGATTACGGCGGACGGTACTACAATCGCGGACCTTACGATGGATCGCCACCCCCTCGACATTCACGTTCAGAGGAGTCCAGCGACCAGTGGGAGGTCGAGCAGGCCAAGGCCTTGCTGTACGAGAAGGACCCAGCATACCGCGCAGCAGAAGATGCACGTCGCCAGCAGGTCGAAGAGGACAAGTGGCGCAAGCAGGGCGAGTTCTTCTTGAAGGCATTGGACACCAAGCTGGAGAAGATCACCGACAAGGCCGGTACGGGCTCGGGCAACGAGGCTAAAGGCGCGGACGGCGCCGCAGGCTCGGCCGGTGCTGCCGCCGACGGGACCGAGCTCACCGCTGTGCAGAAGATGTGGTTGGAGGCGGAACTTCAGCATAAGGTGAAGATGGCGGACAAGAAGGTGGCCACGGCGCAGAGCACTATTGTCGAGAAGATGGCCGAGCCTGCCTTCGCAAAGTTGGTCTCCGCATTCTATGGCAAGCACATGGCGGACGAATCGATCCCTCGCACCCGCGAGGCTCGTGTCAAGAAGCTTCTCGAGCATGTCAAATCCCAGTGGTTTTGTCATCGTACCGCTGATTTCCCAGGTGGGCTTCCAGGTATTCCTCTCCTCTGGTTGGTGGTGGCTTTCTTCATGGGAGTCGTGTGCGCTAGCATGTACCCCGCGGGATGGGTTCAAATGCATCCACACGTACGGGCCCTCAGGAGCTATTTCGACGCGTGGCTGTACCCCCAGGCGTACACAGATGTTCACACCTTCGGTCTGGCAGCTGCTCGGGCAGCATCGTCTGTGATATCATCTTTCTTCACTGCCGAGGGCGCTCCGCTGGTTCTCCCACCGATCTTGTGGGGGCTGGCGAGACGCCGCCAGAGAGCGATTGCCATGTAGAACTCGCCCGGGGGCAGGTGCTTGTGAAGTGCATGGGGATTGCCCGAAACCGGGAGCCTGCATTGATTCCCACCTCTCTTCGGGAAGTTGCGGTTCGAGGCGCAACTCTTGCATGCTGATGCGGTAAGGCTCCGCGTAGCTTGGGGCAGACAGGGCGCGCGCGCAGCACGGAGAGTGTCACGTGTGAGCTATTTTGGGTGTGCCGGTCCATCCGCGTTTTCAAGTGCACACGGGGAGTGTCAACCAGTTTCGTCTTTGGGCAGGCGCGCACGCACGCGTGCGAGCAGTGTTGCATTTGTTCATGATTGTGTGCAGGAGCCGTGGCCAGGCTCAGGCCCAGCGGTGCTGAAGGCCCGATGTAGGGCCGCATGTCGACAGGTCTGGCCCGACTCCGCAAGAAAGGCGTCCTTCGATTATCGCCGGTTCTACCGAGGAGGAGGAGGAGGAGGAGGAGGAGGAGGAGGAGGAGGAGGAGGAGGAGGAGGATGGGGAGGAGGAGGAGGAGGAGGAGGAAGAGCAGGAGGGGGAGGAGGAGGGGGAGGGAGGAGGCGGAGGGGGAGGCAGGAGGCGGAGGAGGAGGAGGGGAGAGGAGGCGGAGGAGAAGGAGGGGGCTATTCGTTTGGCAAGGGGGGGGGGCTCGGGGCCTGCGCGCGCCGCCGAGGCGGGCCCCGTGGACTTCACCGGGGCCTCGCTGCGTGTCCCCCGCGGGCGCGTGGAGAACCTGCGGCTGCCCGCGGGCCGGGCGGGGAGCGGGGAGGCGCTGGAGGTCCGGCGGTTCCTCAGAGCGTGAATTACCTACCCCGCTTTCGCTTCCAGGCAAAACCAAACCATACCACGCGCCTCCTCGTCAAGCGGCCTGACCAGCACAGGCTGCAATTTGGCGTCGCTTGGTATCTCTTGGAAGCGAGGGTGGTCAAAAGCGAGGTAGGTTTGTTTTCCCCCTAGTTCAGAGACGGGCGGCGCCAAACAACGTCGAGTACAGTAGGTGATCGTGTTCTGAGGTCTCGTTTTGTCGGGGGCCCCCAAACAGGGTGGTGATCACACCTTGCGTGTCGGTGGGGATTCGGGGTCACCGCACGGTTTGGGGACTCGAGTCCCTCTCCGAGGACGTCTCGGGCGACAGGGGCCTCCAGGGTCCCAAGACTGTGCGGTGACGGAGCGTGCGGTAAGATCTTTGGGGATTTCGAGGTCACCGCACGGTCCGTCACCGCACCGCTTCGGGACCTCAAATTTTGCCGATCGGCGCGAGCCCTCACACCCCCCCCTCCCAGCTCCCTGGAGCAGGCCCTGGCTGTTTTGGGCACCTGTCTCGAGCAGGTGGAGTCTCCCCCACAGGACGCACTGTTGCAACACAGTCGCATCAAGCAGAGGTCCTGAGCCAAACCCCCCCCTCCTCTTCCGCCCACTGTCGAAACGCCGGATGAGAAAGCGCTCACTCGGGGATCGGCTACGGAATGGATCTACTCCAGAATACTTGAATGCCCGTCAAATCTCAAAAACAATGAATAGCATGCTCAGCAGATCTACAGAGCCTTCGATGTACTCTTCGTAGATGCGACAGGAAATCAAGGTTGGGGTACATAAGCTCTGTACTCGGTCCCGTACTCGAAAACTGGAGCGTCTGCGCAGAGATTGGCACGTAAGTTGCCCGCCCATGGTCGCGTAAGCGCCCTCGTCCCCAATGCAGCGTGCCGCGCTGGCGGCCCGCGTAAGCCGCCGTGCAAGGTTGCTGGGCCATCTCGCGTAAGACCCGTTCTTTTGATCGTCGTTCAGGTGGGCGACGGAGGAACCTGGGGCCTTGGCATCGCTCGGACGTGTATTTGTTTTTGTTTTCCTAGGCGAGGGCCATCGAGGAGCATCTTGGGTCATCTTGCGAACAAAAATCGACGCACGAAGCCGAAGCCATGCACGGGACATGGACGTCCGAGCTATGGTAAGGGGTCAACTGCACCGACCTTCGCGCGCGAGGGATGCCCGCGTCAGGTCGCCCACCGGCGCCCTCGTTGCCAACGTAGCCTGCTGCGCTGGCGGGCGGGCTGCGTAGGCCACCGTGTGAGGTCGCTATGACATCTCGCGCAAGGCTCAAGTTGGTCGGGCCCTCTACAGGAGGAATGTTCAAGAAGTATACATCATACTCTGGTGACGCTTTTTCGTGCTCTGTGGACTATGTTTGGTTATGTGTGGCTGTTGCTATCTTCCAAAATCCTCGAATTATTGCCACCTAGCGCGAGGCTTGCTGCTCTTCGTCGCTCAGATCGGGTTTGGGGGGATCGGGCCCCGAGGACGCGGTGGTGCATCCAATGTCGTAGACTCGACTCGGGATGCCTCTCTTCCTCGGGCCCCCTCCCTCGGGGCCCCAGCTAAGCTGCCCGCCGAGAGGTGAATTTCACGCTGGACAACTGGAGCCTGGAGCTGGAGCAGGACGGGGAGCAATCGAAGGAGAAGCAACGGCACACGTAAACTTCCAGAGAGTTCCGTTCGGATTTTGGTCGGCGCTGGCCCCCCCCTGGCGGCGCGCCTCTGGCGCCGCCCCTGCAGCGCTTCACGCGCCAGGGCGGGGGTGCCCAGCGCCGATCCAAGGCAACCGCGCGGAGCTCGGGAACCCAGACCCCCGACGTGTCGCGATTCAAAACGTCGACCCCCAGAGGTCTGGACCATTTCCCCTGGACAGGTTTTTCCTCCGAAACCGTTTTTGTTGACGGTCCCGAGGCCCGCGGGGGCGATCCGGGGTCCGAACAGCGTGAACCATTTTCCGTCGTGATGCTTTGACAACGCGAGGGGGGTTGGGGAAGTCTATGCGTTTGCTGTTCTCTCTTCTTCGCGCGCAGAGCGACGCCGACTGGCTCTTCAGCCCCGGGGCCCTCGCGGGCGGCGCCGAGCCCGGCCTGTTCGACAACGGCTCATGGGGAGGGAACGGCACTGCTACCGCCGCGAGCGTCCCTCGCCGCCACGGTTAAGTCGGGCATGTCCCTCCACAGGAGGAATACTTAAAAACATTTAAACAAATAGTCAGGGGACGATTTTTTCTTTGTTTTTGATCATCCTTTTTGAATATCTCTTATTCGGCAATGGCCCCGGCTATTCGAAGGAAGGGTGGAGGGGGGAGGTGTTGGCCGATAACCTGACCTTTCGTTTTGGGCAGCCCCACGTTTACCCGCGCGCACCAAGGTTAGATTGCGTACACCCTTCGGACCTGCGCAGACAACAAGGTCAGGCTATCCCGAGGGGGGAGACGGGGGAGGGGGCGGGCGCGATAATCGGGGAAACAAAATTGTCCACTCGCGTCGTGACAGAAATCATGGCGGGCGGTTTTTGGGCAGTTTCGGCCTCTGGGCGCCTTTGCCAGGCCCCAGGACCGCGAAGAAGTGAGTCGGGATGAAGAACCGGTCCGGGAAAAAGTCCATACGGGGGAGCCCACGGAAAGGGGGTGACGATTATATGGGGGGGCCAGACTATACGGGCGTCTGAATTTGGGGCAGCGAACAAGCAATTACCGATGCCGCTACTCGTCCCCAGGACCTCCACGGACCCCCGACCTAATGGTTTGTTTTTTGTTGTCAAAACGTCGACCCCCTTTGCCAGAGGTCTCGGCCCCTTCACCGGGACATGTGTTTCACCCTCCGTGGTCGTTTTCGGACGGTCCCGAGGCCTGGCGAGGGCCCCATGGAGGCCGAAGACAGCGAGAAGCCTCCCGCCGGGGCTGCTGCTGTCGCAGCGCGAGGGGGTTCCGGGCCTCCCGGGGTTCGGCGTTCTGGCCAGGAGTTCGAGGCGCAGCCCGCCGTGGCGTTGAGGTCGGGCGTGTCCCCCCCCCCCAACAGGCGGATCTTGAGGGAGGGACTGCACGGAAAGAAGAATGGCATGGATAATTGTTTAGAAATGGTCCTCACATATAGTTCACGACACACGGCTTTGGATGAAAACTGAAAACAAACATATATATATATATATATATAGAAATATTCATATATATAGAGAGATGTATGTATGTATGTATGTATGTATGTATGTATGTATGTATGTATGTAGGTATGCATGTATGTATGTATGTATGCATGCGTGCATGCATGCATGCATGTATGTATGTATGTATGGATGGATGGATGGATGGATGTAGGTATGTATGTGTATATGTGTATGTATGTATGTATGTATGTATGTATGTATGTATGTATGTATGCATGTATGTATGTATGTATTTGTATGTGTATGTGTATGTGTATGTATATGTATATGTATATGTGTATGTATATATATATATGTATATGTATATGTATATGTATATGTATATGGATATGGATGTGTATATATGTATATGTATATGTATATGTATATGTATATGTATATGTATATGTATATAGATATGCATATGTATATGTATATGTATATGGATATGGATATGGATATGTAAATGTTTATGTATATGTATATGTATATGTATATGTATATGTATATGTATATGTATATGTATATGTATATTTTTGCATGCACGGAAAACAAAATATCAAAGGTAGTTCATGGACAGAAGGAAACAAAAGAGGGGCCCCGGTGTCTGGGAAGGCGGCCCGCTGTCCGTCCGCTTCCCTGGGTTCGAGTCCCGCCTCGGCCTCGAGAGCGGCGCCGCGTGGCGGACCCCGGAGCCCGTGCACCTGACTTACGCCGGCGCTGGCGTCGCGCAGTTGCTCGCCGGGATGTCGGAGCACAGCTCTGGCTGACCCAAGAGGGGGTCCAGCCACACGGGGGTGGTGCAGTAGGTCTCGTGCAAGGGGTTTGCGGGTTGCAGGAGATTTGGGGCGTGCAATACGTGCCGGGGCGCAAATGTACTGCTGGATTTTCGCGTGCAGTGCATTAGTTGCAATACAATGCGATTCTCTGGCGCAGTACATTTCCAATACAATGGCCCCAAATCTATTGCACCACCTTCTTTCAGCTGGACCCCCTCGTGGGCCAACCAAAACAGCGGGACCCCGTGGAACGGCAGGACGGCGCCCAGCCACGAGGCTCGTAAAGGACGGGGGAACTCGGGGCTTAAGGACGTGAGCATAAACTGTCGGAGGTCCTCGTAGATATCTCGGATCGGCACTGGACACCCCCTTCCCTGACGCACGGAGCGTGCCAATGGCGGCGCCGCTGGCGCCGCCAGGAGGCCACAGCGCCTATCTGCGAAATCCGCACGGAGCGCCGAACGTTGTTCACGTTCATGTAATTGTTCGTCCCCTAGTAAGTCATACTGATGCCCTTGCGTCGTTTTGGCTTTTTGGGGCCTTCCTGGTGGTCCTCGTCGGCAGGTCTGAACTCGGCCTGAAAATTTGGTCTGAACGAGAGGCCTGGGGAGTAACGGCGCCGAGCCCAGGGGGGACGTGAGAGGGGGCAGGCATTTTCAGAAGGCGGCGGGGCTTCTCAGAAGCCCTCGCGCCCGTGAGAAGCCTCATAATTCAGCCTTCCCCGAAGCCACGGACGGCTCAGACGCCGCCTGGGGTTTCGAGAAGCCCCCGCCGCTTCTGAGAAGGCCTGGGCTTGGCTTTCGTTTCCTAGCCCAGGTCTCCAGCGGCGGGACACCCCCGGCACGCCCTCGGCGAGTCGCAGCCGCCGAGTATTAGCCCGAGGCTGGAAAACGCCGAGAACCATCGGAAACGCCAGAAAACGCCTAAGATTTCGAACCTGGGCGCCACCTCTCACTCCTCCACCTCCTCCCCCTCCTCCTCCTCTTCCTTCTCCCCCTCTTCCTGCTCCTCCTCCTCCTGCTCCTGTTCCTCCTCCTCCTTCTTCTCCTCCTCCTCCTCCTCCTCCTTTTCTGCCTCCTCCTCCTCCTCCTCTTCCCTGCCTCCTCCTCCTCATCATTCTCCTCCTCGAGTGGGGGAGGAGGACGAGGAGCCCTTCTTTTTCCAGTGCAGACCACCTGGCTACATCTGTAGAGCTTTGCAATGAGAGAGAGGAGCCTCTTCCGGATGTGCTGGGCATCTGGGAAAACGCTCGCCAATCTGGGCGCCCCCTCTCTCTGCACCCCATCGGGCCCGCTGCGAGGCGGACGGCGTCGTGCCGGGCCAGTTCCAGAGGCCGCACGCCCGGAAGCCGGCCATACCCCAGCGGCGCGCGGAGGGGGTCCTATAGAGCGAAGGAGAACAAAACATAAACATCAACTTTTGGAGCTCCGCGCGGATTTCTTGGATCGGCGCTGGACTCCCCTTCCTGGCGAGCGGAGCGCGCCAGGAGCGGCGCCGGAGGCGCCGCCAGGGGGCCCAGCGCCGATCCAAGAGGTCTGCGCGGAGCGCCGAAAGTTTGTGTTCTTGCCGCCTTGTGCTCCTTCGGTAGAGGGTGAGGCGGGGCGGGCCGCGACGGACCCTACCCAGAACCCCCCTCGCGTCGTGAACAAAAGCACGACGCACGGTTTTGTTGCTGGTATGTTCTGCCTTTGGGCGCTCTGGCCGGGCCCCTGGGGCCAGGAAGCACCGGCTCGGGATGAGGAGCTGGTCCCGGGAGATGGGTCCACAGTCGGACCGAGGTATATGATCGTGGTCGGTTCGGGGAAGGTGCCCTCGTGTTCTCCGTGTTTGTGTGATGTTTTTGCGCACCCTGGGGAGGGTACCCTTGGGTGTTCTGCTTGTTTTGACTTGCGGAGGGGTCTCGTGTTCTTGAAGGATGTTCTTCTGGCCTGGGTCCGACTGTAGACGTCCTGGAGTCCACACCGTGAAGAAAACACGACCTCGGGGGTCTGGGTCTCGGGCAGGAGGAGAACCTACTTCTGGATCACCTCGGGGAGGCCTCCCACACGAGCGACCAAAAAGTACGGGATCGTCTTCACCGACACTGGCGCGCGCGCTGCCCGTGTATTGTCGCGCGTGAGCGCCCTCGCTTCCAATTTAGCGTGCCGCGCTGGAGGCCCGCGTAAGCCACCGCGTAAGGTCGCGATCTCATCGTGCCGGATATCCATCTCTATTTGTCGCTGATTTGGACCACCGACACACAAAGTTGCTAAGGGGATACCGGAGGTTGTAAATGGATGCTAGTGTTGGCTATAGTTGGCCTAGCCCACCTCGTACATGGGGGTTACAGCTGCCCTAGGTGGCCTTTGGAAAGGTGTTTAGTAACTCTACGAAGTGGGCTCCGTCCACTTCGCCCAGATCGCTGCCACCCCTAAGCCGCTCAGGGCACTTGCTAGCCACCCACACGTATGAGCCAGGTCAGGCCAGATCGAACCCACCTCGGCATCCACCTTGATTCCCCCCTATATCCCCGTAGCAACCCCAGCGGTGATCCAAGCAGACGTGCTGGCGTCGTGAAGAAAATCACGACGCGGCGCTGTCCGCCGCCTGCGGCCTCCTGGGGCCACTCGCCGTGCCCCGGCAACCACCGCCAAGCGCCGGCTCGGGCTTGGAAGCCGGGCCCTGGGGAGAAGGCTTGGGTCTCCCGTGGACCCCAGACGGCTCAAGCCTTAAGGCGGGCCTGTCCCTCTACACGAGGAGTATTCCAAAATAGGCAAAATATAGTCTGGGGGCGATTTTTCGACTATTTTTGACCGTTTTGAAATATTGATTGACTATTTTTGATTTTTCGCCCAAGATCCCCCTGTAGGGGGACATGCTCGACCTAACTCAAGCCGTCGCCTGTCTGGGGAGTGGCGGGGGCGTGTTGTCGGGAGGGATCCCCGCCCCCCCCGCGAGAGGCTTCCCGAGAGGCGTGTTGTGCACGGGGGGGATTGGGAATGCGAGAGGCTTCCCGAGAGGCCTGTCAATTCCACGAGGCGAAACCATATGTTCATCAATGCGGGATGCGGCCTCTGGCTCGTGGCTCCGACACCGACAAAAGATAGTTGGCCAGAGACCACCCCCGATCCTGTTTTCGGATGAACCTGCCGAGCTGTGTCGGTTGTATGTGGACTCTCGGTTGTATGTGACCGACACTGGCGCGCGGAGGAGGAGGAGGAGGAGGAGGAGGAGGAGGAGGAGGAGGAGGAGGAGGAGGAGGAGGAGGAGGCAGCTGCTCCCCGGGAAGCGCTGTGCGCAGAGGGGGGTTAGGAGGGCCCCCCGAGGGCGTCGGAGGTGGGGCCTATGGTCTGGCCCCGCGGGCTTCCGAGGGTGCTCGGCTCGGTCGCCTCGCGGTCGTCGGCTCCGTGGGTCGCTGTGCCGCAGCGGCCCTGCGTCGGCATCGTTGAACCAATCCTTCTGGGGAGAAAAAGATACGGATACGTGTTGTCCCCCTTCGTTTTCGGCCTCTCCTGGTCCTCCTGGGGAATCCTCGTTGTCACCGCTGGATTCGCCTCGAAATTCTTGTCAGAACGCACCCCAAGAGAGGTCCGGGGACAACACGTATCCGTATCTTTCCGCCCCCCAAAATCCCCATCCCCATCGAGGGGGGTAAATCGGCCAGTGGGGCCCAGGCCACCCCGCTGGGGATGGGAATCGGTCAAACGATCTTCACTGTGCAGGGGAGCGGACAGTGACGTACATGAGTGGTCCGCGCGGGTTCATCGGATCGGCGCTGCACCCTCCTCTCCTGGCGCGCGGAGCGCGCCAGGAGCGGTGCCAGAGGCGCCGCCAGGGGGCCCCAGCGCCGATCCGGGAAGTCCGCGAGGACCTCCGAGGTAGTTCATGCTCACGTCATGTGATGCTCCCCTGGGCTGCCGTGCCGCAGCGGCCTACGGTGGAACCCATGCCAAGAAACAGCCTGCTTGCCTCCAGGGTGCCCTGGGTTTCTTGGGTGTCCGTGCCTTTGCCGTGGAAAGCGCGACGCTCCCGCACCGAAAGTCAACGGACGTCCTGGGGTCTCAGGGCTGTTTTTCGTTGCAGGAGGTATTTTCTTGTCGAGCTCCTACTGCCTGGTGGCCAGCTGTCGTCCCATCGGTGCCGGTGGGCGCCTGCCTCGCTGCCGGCCCGGCCCCGGGGGGCCTCGGCGATTTTGCCGCCGAGGCAGGCGAGGGGCCCTGGCCCCGAGAGGCGGGGAGGCGTTGGCCGGAGGCAGGAGGGCCGCCCCCCTCACTCCCCTCGGGCCAGACGAAAGGGGGGGATTGGGAAAGGGGGGTTACGAAATCTGCTGCATGCAGCTGGTTTCGGCCCCACCGAGGGGCCCACTCCTCGATACATGGCCGCCTCCCGGCGCCGGGACACCCTTTTGCTACCCCCCCCCTTTCGCTTGACCCGATTCTCTCGGTCGCAAAGCACGTGGGAGCCTCGTGTGCGCCGGCGTTGGTTCCCGACACCGCGGGGATCGTTCGGCCTTGAACGATCCACCGCTTCCGAAGCGTCGGATCGTTCAGCGTCGACCGCCGGCGGCGTTCAAGGTTGAACGCCGACGGCGGGGTCGCCGCCGGTCGACAGGGCGCGAACCTACCGTGGCCTCCCAGTGCCGTGTTTGGGCGTTCGGTGATTGGACCACTTGGGTAGGTTTTGGTGGGGGGCCGCCCCTCTCACTCTCAGCGGCGCGCAGAGGGGGGCAGGGGGAGGGGGGAAGGCTGCTTAGGAGGAGGCCGTTTCTCAGAAGGCGCGAGCCTCACATCTGCAGACAAGGCCCGCGCCTTGTAAGGCGTGGGGGTGCTTCTAAGAAGCCTTCCCCCTTCCCCCTACCCCAGTTTGCGCGCCGACGACTTTCGGTCGCAGCGCTCATGAGAGTCTCGTGTGCCCTCCCAGTTCCGTGTATTGGGTGTTCGGTCATGCACCCCGTGTTGAAGTTGAACGCAGCCACCCAGCTTTCGCGCCGAAGACCGCTGGAACCCGCCAAAGACCGCCGGAAGCCGCCAAAGACCGTCGGAAGACCGCCGAAGACCGCCCGAAGACCGCCGAAGATCGCCGAAGACGGCCCAGGAGCAGTGGGTTGCAAAGGGGTCCACGGTCGCTTCGTTGGCGGCAGATGTCCTTGCTTTCGAGTGATCTTGATGGCAGGGGATCGGTAAGGTAAAAACAAAACGTCCCGCCAGCGGCGTGCACCGGCGCCTGGTAGTCGGAGAGATCGCGCCAGGTCTGCATCGATCTGGCGTCGGGTTTAGCGTCGACTTGGCGTCGGCCTTGCGTCGAGGAGCGTCGATCCGCAGGAGCCAGCAGGACGGTACGGGAGGCTCCCACGAGCTGCCACCGAAAACACCGCGCGCGCGCCGCCGGCGTACTCCGCCTGGGGAGCTTCCTGAAGGACCGGGTGCTTCCAGAAGCTGGCGGCGTGGGGGACAGGGGGAGGAGGGAGGAGGAGGAGGAGAAGGAGGAGGAGGAGGAGGAGGCGGAGTCTTCATCCTCCTCCTCCTCCTCCCCCTCCCCCTCCCCCTCCCTCCTCTTCCTCCCTCCCTCCCCTCCCCTTCCTCCCTCCCTCCCTCCCTCCCCCCCTCCGCGCGTAGCGCCGAAAGTACACGTGCATGCAGGTTTGCCTTCTTCTATTCTGGCAGCGCCCGCAAGGAGCTGCACCTCAAGGCCAGCGCCTCCTTCGTCAGCGTGGCCGGGGGCACGGACGGCCAGGAGCGGACCAGGCTCAGCCTGCAGGCGGACGCCGAGGCCCATGTCAGCGTCGACGCCCCTTTCGCGGCGGGGGCGTCGGACTACTACGACGAGGACCGGAGGGGGGAGGGAAATCTCAGACCCCAGCGCGATGTGAACAAAAATCACGACGGGAGGTTTTTCGCTATGTTCGGCTCTGGGGGGGCCGTCCCGGGCCGCGGGGCCGTCAAATGACGATTCGGGATAAAAAAAAAACAGACCCAGGGAAGGGGACGAGACCTTGAGGGGGTCGACGTTGTGAAAAGATCACGACGTCGGGGATCTGGGATGCACCGATGCAATTGCCTCGTGTTCTCGCCTTTTCGGACTGTCGGGGAGGCCCTCGTCGCCACCGCGGGATTCGCCCCGAGGTTCTGGTCAGGACGCACCCTGGGAGAGGTCTGCGGAGAAGCGATGTCGCACGAAAAAATTGCATCCAAAGGAACTTTCGGAGCCCCGCGTGGATTTCGTGGGTCGGCGCTGGTCCCCCCTCCTGCGGCGCCTCCAGCGCCGCCCCTGGCGCGCTCCGCGCGCCAGGGAGCGGGGGACAGGGCCGGGGCGCGACATCCGCGCGGACCTTCGGAAGTTTATGCTTATCTTTTCGTCCCTCTGTGATTATGTTGCCCCCATCGTACTTCAGGACCAGATCCTGGAAATAAATTCGAGCACCCGAAGAGTGTCGAACAAGTGTCGAACGAGTATCGCCTTCCAGGGCCCGTCAAGTGAAACCCCCAAGTTTCGGTGCTTTCTTGGTGCTCGAAGTTCTTGCCTGCGATCAAGGCTGAAGTAAGATGGAACATCATAACTCTGCATGAGGACCTGGGCTACCTCCACCTCGTGGTCCCCGGGCTCTACGGGAGGGTCGGCACGAGGTCCCCGGCTTTCGGCCCCGCCAGGGCGGCGAGGAGGGCGCCAGCGATCGTGCGGCTCAGCTGCGGCATGCTGGAGCTGCACAAGGTTCGGGGGTCGCCAAAGGTGCCCCTGGCCCGAGGTGCCCCCAGCTGTTCGCCCCATCTTGGAGCCCCTGGGCCCAGAGATCCGATGTCGCGATGTTTTCAACACGGGGTCCCCGGAAGTCTCGACCCATTCCCCAGGACAGGTCTTTCATCCTGAATCGTTTCTTGACGGTCCCGAGGTCCAGTAAGGGCCCCTAGAAGAGGCCGAGAACTGTGAAAAACCTCCGCCGTGATTTTTGTCAACGCGTTGGATCTCTGGGGGGTCCTCAGGGCCTCGTGAAGGGTGCCCTGGAGGCCGCCGGGGCCGCCCCGAGACTCCTGGGGGCACCCTGGGCCAGGGGCGCCTCTGGCAGCAGCACCCGCAAGGTGGACGGCAGCCGGGGAGCCTCCCCGCGGGACCGGCCATTCGGCGCGGGGGCGCCGTGGGTGACCCTGGACCTGGCGGACGCGCCCCTGCTGAGGGAGATCGGAGGACCCAAAAATCCAACGTTTTGAAAAATTCAAGACCAAGGTTTTTCGCCAATTTCGGCCCCGAGGGCCCCTCGCCGGCTCTCGGGACCGTCAGAAAACGACTCAGGATGAGAAGCCGGTCCTGGGGAATCGGTCGAGACTTCTGGGGACCGCGTATTGGAAAAACCACGACATCGGATCTCTGGGAAGGTGCCCATACCTCTACCCTCCCCTCCTTCTCCCTTGTGTTCGGGCCTCCTCGGAGGCCCTCGTGGCCACCGCTGGGTTCGCCTCGAAATCCTGGTCCGAACGCACCCCGGGAGAGGTCCGGAGAGTAGCGGTATCGGTACCCTTTGGACTCCCCAGGAGAGGCGCACCGAGGGCGGCAGCCGGTGCTTCATGATGCGCAGGGGCAAGGCAGGGCCCCGTGCGGAGCGGCCCGACTTCGATGTCGGCCCGGGTGGATTGCGATTCAGTCGGACGTGTCCCTCTACAGGAGGGAAAATTCAGAAGTGAACAGATTTTTAGTCTGGGGACGATCTTTCGTAATATTTCTGACAATGTTTGATCATTGTTTGACTATGTTTGCTTGTTCGTCCAAAGTCCGCCTGTAGGAGGACACGCCCGACCTGAGATTACGACTCTTCTGCGGCCCGATGCTTGCACGGTGCAGTCGGGCACGCTGGTGCGGCCGACCCGTCTGGATTCCAGCTCCGTGCCGATGCAGCCAGACATCCGCGCAGCTGCCGATCCGACCCGATTCTCCGATTATCAAGAACAAAAGAGCCCCAAATCCTGATAACCCAGTGGAGACGTGGCCCCACCAAGGTCCCCGTCCTTGCAGGGATAATAGATCTGGTCGGTTTGTCTCGATGCATCCATGTACAGGAAGGACCCCCTATCCCTAACCCTCCGAACGGAAGTCTCCTCCCAAAGGGTCAGGGGCCCTCTTGTTGCTCATTATCCGATGCTGACCACCAGACCCCCTCGCGTCGTGAAAAGACGTGACCGACGGTTTTTGTCAGTTTTCGGTTTCTGAGGGCCCTCACTTGGCCTCGGGACCGTCGAGGCACGACTCGGGATGAAACGCTGGTCCCTGGGAAGGGGTCCAGACCTTGGGTCGACTACACGTTACAGTGACCCTTCGCCGAGTCACACTTGGTGCGGGCCCACCGGGGTCACTCGATCGCTGTAAGCGATGCGATGGCTAAAGCTTGCGCGCTCGGGTTTGGCCCCTCCGCGCCCCTAAAGCCGCGCAGCAAGGGTCACTCTTGCCTAGGGCCACTCTTGCGTGTGGCCGATGTGGGAGGTCCACATGATGAACAGATCATGGCGTCAGGGGTCTGGCACATGGCCTGTCAGGGCCTCCCGGGGAGCATGCACGACAAGTTCTTCTGCGCGGCTGGCGTCCTGGGTACTCAGCTCGAGGCCGCCATCGACCTGCAGGTGACCCGCCTGCAGGACGCAAGGCAGAGGACGGCGTCGCAGACTGCGGAGCGCTGGGAGCAGCAGGGCATCTTTTCGTTCCCCGACGGCACCTGGTTCCGGAAGCAGCTGCTGTGGAACGGCGAAGAAGCATTTGGTAGCAAGTCGTGGGAGCCTCGTATGCCTGCGTAATTCCTCTAGGAGAGTGCACTAGCGTGCGCCAGCGTCTGGTAATCGATGAGGATGCGCCGATTTAGCGTCGATGTAGCGTCGGTTAGCGTCAATTCGCAAGAGCCAGGGAGTCTCCCACGAGTTGCCACCGAAGAAGAAACACGGCATGACCACAATATTTCGGAATCCCCCGCGCGGATTTCCTGGATCGGCGTTGCCCCCCCCATGGCGGCGCCAACGCGAGCCGCCCCTTGCGCGCTCCGCGCGCCTGGGATGGGGGTCTAGCGCCGATTAAGAAATCAGCGAGGGTCTCCGACAGTGTATGTTTATGAAGTTTCTCGCTCCTGTAGGAACGCGTCCACTTGGTTTCCCGAGTTCGTCGCGAAGGTTACGGCACAGGCATCCGGCGCCTTGAGAAGATCGAGGCGGCCAGTGGGTCCCCCATTGAGGCCGCTCGACGTCAATTTCGGGCATCGGGGCCAAACAAGTACCCTGGACGAAGAAGCAGCCCCAGGGAAGAGGCCGAGAGGTCGTGGGAGGCCCACGCATCGAACACAGTGAAGCGCCGGATGCCTGGGCATGAAGGGAAGGGGTCCTGAGGGAAAGGGGTCTTGGGAGTCCCGACGCGTTTCTAGGTCCTCGGCATCCTGGGGCCCCTCCTTGGGGGCCGTCAAGCCTCGGCTAAGCGCAAGAGTGACCCTTTGCCAGAGTGACTTTGGGTGCGGGCCCATATCGTCGGCCCTGATTCGCAGGCCGACCCTGCCGAATCAAGGGTACTCTTGTGTCCTGTGTCTGGCGACCCATGCCTCCTACATTGTTATGGCAATGTGGCCCTCGGAAGGGTCTTGTGTCCTCTCGCGATGTCCTGTCCCATCGAGTCCGACTGTAGGGTTCCCCCCAGCACTGGCGCGCGTCGTCGGGTTGAGGCCGCTCCGCGGCCGCCGGAACTCCCGCGCACCGGATGCCACCTCTTGCCCAGGGGCACTCCTGCGTGTAGCCGAAAGCTGAGGGACGGCCTCTCTGGTCCAAGGGAGCGCCGTCAGATTGGTCGGGGTCCAGGACGCGTTTCCTTGAGAGCCTTCTTTCCTTCTCAAAGGGAGCCCTCCCAAAACACAACACAGACACACACTCTCGGGGTTTCTTGCTGGAATCGCCTGCGTTGGCGCTGCGCGCCCTGCACACCGCCAGGCGGCGCCTCCGGCGCCATCCCTGGCGTTCCCGGACCCTCGACGTCATGCTTTTTTTTTGTTTCACGATCTGGCCCCGAGATGTTTGGACCGCCTCCATGGGGACCAGTTGTTCATCCCAGGCCGTTTGTTGACGGTCTGGGGGCCCGGCGGAGGGACCCAGCAGAGGCTGGAAGTTACCTAACATAGACCGTCCAGTTTGCTTCATAGCGCGAGGGGGCCTGGGCTTGCGGGAAGCTCCGAGAGTGATGGGCTTGTTTTCCACCACCACCACCACCATTAGTTTGAGGGGGAGGAGGAGAGAGGAGGAGGGGGAGGAGGAGGAGGAGGAGGAGGAGGAGGAGAAGGAGGAGGAGGAGGAGGAGGAGGTGGTGGAGCAGGAGGAGGAGGAGGAAGAGGAGGAGGAGGAGGTGGTGGAGCAGGAGGAACCCCTCCCCTTCCAACATATGGTGGTGGTGGTGGGAGACTGGCCCATCAGAGAGTTCATGATGTCAATACGTGCTTGCGGCCCCCCCCCCTGGAAGGCGGGGGACCCCGTGCTGTCCCCGGCGGAGCAGTGGCGGCGCGCCCTCCCGCAGCTCGCCGACGAGGGAACGCCCGTCTGAGACCCGGGGGGGGCCAGGGGGGCCCGATAGAGAGGGCGTCTGGTTGGCCACGTCTCCGACGACGTCCTCTTTCCCCAAAAAAGTCAAAGTACACACCATTTGGCGCTGTGATTTGAGATTTCTTGTGCAGCACGATACAAACAGTGTGGCGTTCTGATTCGGCTTTCTTCTTCGGTAGACGGAAGCAAGTACAAAGCTTTTGACACAGACAATGGCGTTTTGATTCGGCTTTGCTTCTTTCTTCGAAGAAAATGAAGTACAAACCTTCTCGCGGCCTGATTCGATTTGGGCCTCGGGGGGCCCGCGAAAAGCTGGCCCCTGGGAGGGTGCGCGGCCCTCGGCCGCCGCGCTGCGGGTCGGCCCTGCAGGTCGCGCACGGGTGTCGTCGGAGGCTTGGGGCTCTCCGGTGCGCCGCCGCGGCGGTTGTTCCCCGAGGCGCCGGGGGAGCCCGGCAGCGCTCGTCAAGCAGTGGCGAAGCGTCGCGGCTCGCCTATAGCCCTAGCAAGCAATGTTCTAAGAATTGATGGTGGTTCCCACGAAATGTCCTTAGAC